GGGCACCTTCATCATCTCAAAACAGGGGAGCACAGCTGCATCCCCCAAGTATCAGCCCCCCAACACCCCTGGGGTGTATTGTGTCCAGCATCCCGAAGCTTTCCAGCTGGGTATCGATGGATGGCCCTTGCCAGCGATGGATGCACCCCATCACCCACAGCCTTGCTGTTTTTCAAGGAAGGCAGCAGTTCTGCTTCCCAACCTCTCTCATTTATCACCTGGCAAGGGATGGGGTGGAAGGGATGGAGGGAAGGGACGGGACAGCCACAGCCACCATCCCACGTCCCAGGGACCAGCACAGCCTTGCAGCCACTCCAGGGCTGTGGGTGCTCCCGGGTTCCCTATGGGTGAAAACAGCTCTTCGTGGGCAGAGAATGGAAGGACAGAAAAAAAGACACCTTTGGCAAGTGCCTTGTCCTTGGATGTGCCCGGCCACGGGGACGGGCAGAGGGGGGACCCCAGGTGCCAGGCTCTGCCCAGGGCTGTGCAGGCTGTGGGACGGGTCGGCAGCCTTTCCATGGTGGGGGAAAGGGCCATAAAACAAGTGTTTCCCACCAGAAAGATGATGATGCTCTCACACAGAGAGTCAACACTCTGCAAAACACAGTGACCAAGTTAAGGGTGCACTGGTGATGGCACAGGACTGCCCGGCCACCCACCACCCTCTGAGGGCTTTTGTGGTACTGCACATTGTCCCTTCTCCATTGCTGCTTCCCTGCCCCACAGCCTGCCCCACGCCACCTTTCTTGGGAAAACCAGCTGGGATCCAGCCCCACCGAGCATCTCCCAGCCCCTCTGCCTGCCACGGCCAGACCCTCTCAGCATCCATCTTCATCCACCACAGCATCCGAAGTGGAGCCATGCATCACCTCGCAGGTCCCCATCTCAGTTGCAAATATTATTTTAAGCAAGAAACCCTTCTTCCTCCTCCTCCTCTTCCTCCTCCCTGGCCGAAGCAGGAAGACATTGCAGCAGGCAGCGGCGTTGCAGTGCGGTGGAGAACCCCCCTCCTGCCAGGCAGGGCTGGCTCAGTCAAGGGAATAATTGGTAGGTGCTTCTGAAGTGCCATGAATAGAGGGCACTCATAGCCTTTGTTTATTGACTCTTGAGTGATAATGAATACTTCCAAAGATAATTATTGATTTTCTGCATGTGCAGTAAACCTGGTTGGTTGGGGAATGGGTGGAGCGGCACCGCACCGACGCTATGGGGAGGTGGGAATGGGGTGGTTTGGGCAAAACCAGGCTCTTCCCCCTGGGTACAAGCCAAATAATAATAAAAAAAAAATTAAAAAATCAACATTTGTAAAAAAATATTTGTGTAGCTCCAGGAAAAACCCAGCTTTCTTCTCTCTACTAGGGAGAACAGATTAAAATTTAATCCTAGTTAAACGCATTTTTCTCCTGTCCCTCCCCTCGGGTACCTCTTGTGCATACACAGCTTCGTCCCACTGATCGCTTCTTCCCTCAGCCCCAGAGCTCATCCTCCTTGATGGTGGCTGAACACCCCCAGTGGGCATTCTCCCAGAGCAGGGATCACCCCCAAAATCGAAGCCTGGGGGGCCAGAGGGGATGGGGAGATCCATCTCTTTCAATGTGGGAGAAGGTAAAGCAGGAAAAAGCAGGGACGGGGGTTCTAAGCATCCCCACCTGCCTCTGAGCCTGGTAGATCTCCCCTAGGTTTCCCAGGGGGTTTGGGGCCCTGAGGGGGGGCTTTGCAGGATGATGGGGTGCGGGGTGTTTCACCCTGTGGTGCTGGGGGCTCGGGAGCGTCGGAGAGAGCCCTGTTTGCAGCCCCTCATGCCGGGTGGGAGAAGCCCAGGCTCAGCCCTTTATTTAAAAAAACAACCCTGTGGTGCTGGGGGCTCGGCAGCCTCGGAGAGAGCCCTGTTTGCAGCCCCTCATAGAAGGTGGGAGAAGCCCAGGCTCAGCCCTTTATTTAAAAAAACAACCAAACAACCAAACAAATCAACAAACAAATCATGGAAGAAGGGCTCTCTATGGAAGAAATTGGCTTTTTATTCTATTTTAGTGGTTTGGGGTTTTTTTTGCTTGGGAGGAAATTGTGCAGCTCTCCTCCAAGCCCCGCTTTCCCTGTTCCCTTTGCAAAACCAACTCTCTCTGCTCCAGTGAATTGCGCCCGTTTGGGTGGAAACGTTTGAACCTGACAGAGCCCCGTGTTGTCGCCGGGGCTGTAAATAACCTGGGGTGGCATTTATTGCCATGCCCACGGGGTGAGTAACTGCCAGCTGCCATGCTGCTGGGATGCTGCCCATCTCGCAGGGGAGGCAGTTCCCATAGCGTGGCCCTGACCCCCAACCCGAGGGCTTGGGGCAGTGGGGGGCTGCCTGTGCCCCATGGCATCACCCCCATGGCCCCTCAGAGGGACTTGGGGAGCCGTTGGCAATGCCACGGGCTAATAGATACACTAGAAATGTAAGGTATCATTTCTGTTTATGATATAGTGCTTTTTCTGGGTATCTTGTAATGCTTTTTCAGGCTGTTTATTTATGAGGCAATTTATTACAGCGCTGTTATTCTATAGCGGGGAAGTCTATTCCTAGGAGCCTCCGTTAACGGAGCCAATTGCTTAATTGGCTCACTGATGTCTCCACAAGGTATGCCAGGAGAGAGGGTTCTTGTTGTAATGATCGCAGCCTTCCTCCTGCCCACACGCCACCCGTGCTGCTAATTTAATAGTGCAAACATTTATTATTCCTTTTATTTGGTAGTTAATTTTAGGGTGTTTAGAGCTGTTCCAGCTGCTTCCAGGTGGAAGGGGGTGAAATGCTCCGGGGTGCAATGAGGGCCCTGGCTGCAGCTGGGGGTGGTTGGACTCATCCTGCAAAGCCCGGGGGGGGATGCAGGGGCTGATGCCTGGCAGAGTATTTGGTTAATGAGCTGCAATTAGAAGGCTGGGGCTGACCCAGCTGCAGGGCTGACGGTGCTGGCAGGGCTCCTGCTGACCCCTACCTGGCGTTAGGGTCATTTGCCAACAAAATGGAGCAAGAGCAGGGCAAATGTGTGCTTATACCTGATCTCTCTTTGAGTTTTATGTGCTCTGGAGGGAGATGGGTTCCTAACAATTAGGCTGCATGTCATGGGAATGGCTGGAAGGGCCAGAGGATCGGGTTTGCTTGGCTGGTGAGTGCCTGTCCCTGCCCATCTGTGAGAGAAGGGTGATGGGGTGGTTGTCAGCACCCACTCCCATGGGTGGGTGGCTGTCCCAGGGCTGGTGGGGGCCGTTTGTGCCCTCCCCCAGCCATGCTTTTTGCAGTGTGGCTGCTCCGGACTCTCAAGCCCTTTCCTCTGCTCTTTCTGCTCTGCCCTGCTGTTGCTGGCCGTGGCAGTCCCTGGAGGGTCCCCGCTCTGACATCTCCTGCCCGTGGCAAGTCTGAGTCGTCCTGGGCTCGAGCGGAGCCGCAGCTGGCAGCCGGCCTTTCCCAGCCCTGGCACGGTGCCGTCACCTCGGGGCAGTTTCCTGGGGGGCAAGCAGCCTCCCCAAGGAGCATCTCTCTGCCGTGCGTGAATGTCGTCCTTCCCTGTCGGGCTTTTAAGGCGATGTCTGGCAGAGCTGACTGCGTTTCTATAAAGCCCTGTTGGATCCGTGCCCATCCCTGCTGCTGCCGCCGCTTCCCCAGCATCCGTCTCCAGCCTCACAGCACAAAGCCCAGCGCTGCCGGCCGACGCGTGCCGCCGAGGCTCTCCCTTTGCAGCTCTTGGCGTGGTGGGGACGCAGCCCTGGGGCCACCGGTCCCCGGCGTGACAGCAGGGCAGAGCCCTGGTGCCAACAGAACAAAGCGAGAAAGGGGCAGGGAAGGAGGAGTTCCACAGACAAGGCTGTCAGGACGAGCCTTCTGCTAATTTTGTATTTATCGCAAGGAAGCCATCGAGTTTTGCCGTGATTTTCATTCTTTCTCAGCTCCCACTGCCTATTGTTCCTGGCTCCATTATCCCCCCCCCGTCACTTACATAAACGCATCGTGCGGGTTTCTAAAGCTCAATAGAGAGAGTCTCATTCATCCAAGGTCACCAGCTTTTACTTGCGCTTCAAAGCATCTGGTAGAAGAAGCATTTTCTCCTAAAGTCGTTTTTATTGTACGGGGTGCAGAGGCTAAGGGAAACGGCACCCCTGCACTTGTGCTGCCCCAGCTCTTCCCCCCTCCTCCACGTGCCCGGTCCCGGGGGGTCAAGTCCTGCCCTGTGAGGTGAGGTTTTGTTTTCTGGGCTGGTTAGGACACTATTGCTGGGGCTAAGAAACAATGTGCCCCATCCCTGCCCCTCCACCAGTGCCTGTTAAATGGGAAAGGATGGGGAGGGGGAAAGAAAAAGAGGTTTCTTCCAAAATCTTCTCCCCATATGGGTCCTATAGAGAGCACTCTCTGTGGCATCCTGCTTTTTTCTGCCTTGGCAGAGCTGGGGGCTCTGGGCTCTCCACCTTTCTTCACTCAGTTGGCAGTGGGCAAACACAAAGGCTACTGTTAGCCCGTGTTGGGGGCTGGGGATTTGGGGGGGGGGAGGGGACAGGCTGATGTTCTGCCCTGGAAGGCTTGTGGCCACCAAAGGACAAGGAGTGGGCTGGCGAGCTGGGAGCAGTAAGGATGGGGATGGACCAAGGTGGGTCCTGGGGACTGCAAGGACACCCGGGTGGAGATGGGTGAGGATGGCAAACCCCCCCCTAGAGCCGTGTGAGCCCCCCCAGAGCTGTCTGGTGACCAGCGAGCAGCCTATGCTTTCCATAGAGGATAAGAGAGAACCCCAGCTCAAGAGGGGCTCCGGAGCTGTCCT